CTGAGATGCTTTCTAATTTGTTGTAGTACCTTAACAGGGCAAGGTGAATTTTAACAGAAATTGATAACTGCACTTCTATGCAAAGGTAGATGCCCAGGAATGTCCTAAGGGAGTAACTATAAAGCAGCAGGATTTATTTGCTGTTCCCTTTTGTTAAAATAGCCCATGCTTTTCATGGGTTATGAGCTATCCAGAGAATTTGGCCAAAGCAGAAAGACAGCCACTTCACAAATTCTTACTCTTGGCTTGGATTCTATCGCTACTTGTAATGGCTAACGAACTTTAAGCATCTGTTTACATGAAAAAAAGGAATGTTCCTGAATTAAGGCATTGAAATCTAATAATAAACCAGATCAAGTCCAACATGTTGTGGCTGTTAAACAGTCTCTGGTTAACTATGCATAATTAATTATCTGCCACAATGCAACCTCAATAGGGATTTTTCAGCACACACCTTTTTTCAGAACTATAATTATTGGTGGCTCCACTCAGTCCTGGTTTATCAATTCTACATTTGGGCAGATAGTAACATGAAAAAACAAGCTGAGTTCAAAACTAAAGTAGGGTTTGGATCATCCCTTTGTGTATTTTAAAACCACAGTATTTTTTTAATGCTTAATTAAGGCATAGTAATTTAGCATAGACTTAACAGCCTCAAAAGTCTATGCTATTAAAATTCAGCAGGCAGGGAAATTCTGTCTTGAGATACTGGAATGCTATTGGTTCGTTTATTTCTGCTACTGCTATGCCCATGTAATTAAAGAACTTTGATTATTTTTTAATACTGTAATTTTTTTTAAAATGGTACAAAGGGTTGAAGCAGTTAAAGCCACTACTAAATTCTAATTTCTCATTAACTGGTATAGCTGATTTTACAGTGCAGCACCTGGAGGGCCATGGTACCTATTCCTTAGGAGAAAAGATAGAATAGGCTGTTACGGCATAAATGTTTTATACTACCATTCTTTACACCTAGGATAACCAAACTTCAGCATTTTATGTTTTGGAAGGCCCAATGCTTTCCCATCAGAATAGCCATTAAATCTGTCCACCACTTTTCCCACTTTTAATATAAAAGGATATACTTCAGGTTCCTTCCCTCTATTTTTCAAGCAATCTGCCCTCCCACCTCTGGCCGCCTTGCTGCACACCTGTCAATCTGCAACACCATTGCTCCAACCAGATATTTCAAATTGTTAACTCATGAAAATACTTGGACACTTTTTAAAAACACAATGATAACTTTTGTAAACAAATTGCATTGTTACATAACCATCATCCATATTTGGGAATCTGCTTTGTTTCTGCAAAGGTAAATCAATTGAATTGTACATAGGATTGCAGCCTCAAAAATAAGTCTAAAACGTGTGCACAAAAACATTTTGGGGCAGAAGTACATGTGGGTATGTATTGTAAAAGCACATTAGTGTGAAAAATGGGATTTGCCTGTATTATAAACAGACACGACCCAGGCTTATCCACAATATTTTAACAAAAACTGAAGGGACATGTTGGTAAGTTTAAAAAAATAGGTATGCCACATTTTGGCTACCAAAATTTGGCAAATAAATGCAGAAAGTACATAAAATGACTCAAAGAAAAAAAATACAGAATTATATTTACAGCTGAATGAAGCATCAACTACTTAACTGGGAAATTGGTTTTATCCAGGTTTTTCTCCCTAATGTTACTTTTCTATTTAAACATGTTAACTTCTGTTCTCTGTAGTGTCAAGAAACACTAGCTTGTTCTTTTTAAATGTTTTACTAAACATGCCCTTATTTTTATCTTCTGTAAGTTAAGGCCATGTATCAATGTAGCTGTGATTTTACACAGCAAGTTCAGTGGATATAAAAATCCTTATTAAAATGCCATGTTTTGAGATGTAAAAAAAATCAGACCAAAACAAATCACGTTGTTTCCACTTTTAATATAACATAATCTACAATTCAATTGAAAAACAAACTGAAATATTTTAGGAGGGAAATAATTTAAAAAGTAATTTGGTTGCGTAAAGATGCACATCCTTAAACTAATAACGTTATTGAAGCACCTTTTGATTTTATTAACATTGTCTTTTGGGTAGGAGCCTATCAGCGTGGCACATCTTGCCTTGGGAATCTGCCCATTCTTCCTTGCAAAAGTGCTCTGAATCTATCAGATTGCGAGGGCACTTCCTGTGCACAGGCCCTCTTCATGTCACCCCAGAGATTTTCCATCTGACTGAGCCATTCCAAAATTTTGATCATCTGGTAAAGTTATTCTTTTGATTTGGAGGCATGCTTTGAGTCATTTGTCATTTTGAAGGGTAAAATTCACCATCTTCAGCAGAGGCCTGAAGGTTTTGTGTCAACATTGATGTTTAAAACTATTCATAATTCCCTCTACCTTGACCAAAGCCCCATTTCCAGCTGAAGAAAAGCCGCCCCAAGGCATAATACCACTACCGCTATGCTTCACTGTGGGGATGGTATACTTTTGGGGATGTGCACTGTTGTTTTTGCACCATAGTTTTGGGAATTATGGCCAGAAAATTCAACTGCATTAGACTGGAGCACATTTTCTTACGTGCTTTTGTCATACTTGATGCAGGTTTTTACAAAACATAGCCAAGCTCAGGTTTTTTTTTTTTACTTTGCAAGAAAAGGCTTCTATCTTGCCACCATACCCCACACCCCAGACATATAAAGAGTACAGAGATTGTTCTCACCCTAATATTGCTATAGGCCTCTTGGCAGCCTCAGGGACCATTTTCTTCTTTTTTAAAATTCATTTTGGAGGGACATCTAGTTCTTGGTAATGCCACTGTTGTGACAGTCTCTCAATTTGTTGATAACTGTCTTCATTGTGTTCCGTGGTAAATTCAATGCCTTGGATATTTTTTTGTTCCCTTTTCCTGATACCTTTCAACAATGAGATCCCTTTGAAGGGCTTGAACAGTTATTTTAATTGATGGCAGGTATGTACTGACTATTTTTAACATCAGTTTGTGATTGGTTAATTCCGAACACAGGCACTTATAAGGGGGTGTTCTGACCCAAGCCTTGTTCAGATCAAACACAAAGTATGTATAAAAGCAAACCTTTTTAATACGGCGCTGTGAATTCTATGCATTCACAGCCAAGAGTCATTTAAGTCTAAGTGCAGTTAAATATCTAAAGCCAGAAGTTTCAAAAAAACAAACCGGAGTAAGCAGGGCTTCAATGAGGACTCTTGAGTAGAAAGAACTTTGCTTCCTGCAAAGAAGCCAACCCCGAAGGCTGGCTTTTATCCCTTATGGGAGGGGCCATCACCTTCCAGCCTTACTCCCAAGTGGCCATGCTGCTTCAACTGCTCTTTCCTTCGAGCAGCCCTGTGCCCACGCACACTGAGCACAGGCTTCCCGGTCCTCTTCGTCACTGCTGCCAGACTCCACAACCTCCGAAGGCAGCACCCCACTCTCCAATAGTCCTGGCCCCGTCCCTGCATCACAAGCAGGCCCCTTGTCCAAGTCCTCGGTCAGAGACCTCAGCCATCCTTACCTGCTGCCGGTGAACCACAACAGGGGGTGCACACACTTATGCAACATTGTTTTATCCCCCCCCCCAAAAAAAAAGATTCAGTTTCAGTTGAATTATACAGCTTACATTAAAGGTGGAGAAACTTCTGAAGTGATTTATCTTGGTCTTTTTGTTTTTACATTTCAAAAACCTAGCATTTTAACAGGAATGTGTATACAGTATAGCCACTCTAGGCACCTGTTTACAGACCATACTCTGCCATTTATGTCTGGGTTCACAAAAAGTTGCTGACAAGAATAGAAACAGCATTAAGCCAAACTATATGTGTTGAGTCTGCAATTGTATGCAGAAGCGGAGTATTCCCAAACAATGGTTTGAAAAACATAGCTCCAGCAGACCATAAAATACTGGCAGGAAACAGAGAGAAAAGTATTACAATGGCTTTCACAGCCCCCCGACTTGAATTTTATTGAAAACCTGTGGGCAGATCTCAAGCATTCAATCAATGGAAGGAAACCTAAAAATATTTCTGAGCTAGAAGGGTGAGGAAAAATGAGGAGAGGGGCTTTTAACTGGCTGCAGGAAATGCTGGAAAATTTATTTCTGGCAAAGGAGGTGAAGTGGGATCTAGGTGGGTACCTTGATCTTGAATCATGCAGCTAATAGACCTTCAAGTTGGCAGAAACATGGATGAGCTTTGTTCACTTACGAGGTTTATTGAAAAAAAATTGATCCCAGGTACCGAAACATTTGCATACGATTGTGAAACGTATTGCATGGAAGGGATTTCAGATTAACTTTTTACATGGCTGTATTGTATAGGGGTCTCAAACCGTTTTCAAGCTGGGAAACTTGCCTATGGAAATGAACTACCATTATTGTCCACCAACAGACAATTATCTAAAAATATTCCTTGAAGTATCCTGATTAAGTTTCCGTTCTTTCTCACAGAACTGTGCATTTAAGAGTGGAATTATCGCAGTTGTCACATGAATGATACAACTCTGGCCTTTGCAGAGAGTGTCACGGTCAAAACTATTATCTTCCTGCAGAATAAACCTGAAAACATGAACATTGTGCTGACAAGCATGTTTCATTTTATGATTCCCAAGAAAATGTTTGAATACAACTATAGCTGCAAGCAATGATCCAACGGTTTCCGATCTTTCCTTGAAGCGTCAACTTGTCTACAGTGGTGGTTATAGCAGATTGTCCCATGGCTAAATTGTCACAACCCAAATGCTTGTTAAACCAAACCCACAAGATGAGCAGGAATGGATCACACTCAGACAGCCATCCCTCCGGTGGTGGCATCTGGCTGAGTAGTTTGAGGGTACAGACTGGCAACTTGCCAAAAATTCCCAGAGAACAAATAACAAATCCACATGCAGCCATTTGTTCTAAAGTCTAACTGTTAAACTGTGTAAAATTTTCAACATCCTGTGTAAGCCTTTTGGGTCTTTAAAAAAAAAAACAACTAATAGTACTTTACCTTCCCCGAGCACAGACATAAAAGAGAATGACGGCAAGACTACATCACACAGAATTACCACAGAAGCTCTCTTGAGGTGTCAAAAGTAGCTGTTAACATGGCACATTTTAGGGTTACAGTGGTGGCAGACATATCAAAATGCACAAACGTATCAAAATGCACAAACGTGGACATCTACTGAACTGCAGGGCAGCAGTTGAGAAAGTGTCCCGAATCCAGAGTTGAATCTCTGCCTCGTGCCTGCACTGTTCTGATCCAAGAGTTGGAGCTGGTCTGCCAAGATAACATTTTAGGCTTTAAAACAACATACATCTTAGCTCTACTTCGGGAATCAGGGGGTTCCCTGATGCTTTCGTGAGTTTCTGAAGGAATACTGCCCATTTCTCCTACTAAGGAACATTTAGACACATTTGGTGCCAGGGCTGGTCAAAGTTTGCTTCCATGCAGGAGCTCGGCTGGCTTTGTTCTTAACAGCTTGTTACATCTCCCCAAAATGCAATAGCCTGGGGCATAACGGCATCAAAACCAAAACAAACTGCCTCATAGAGGATTAATCTGATCAAAACCAAACCAGGCATTACTGAAGTCTAGACAGAAACCCATATAACTCCTTTAATATAGTAACCTCGTTTGTGGAAGGATATTGTGGAAGTAAAAGGCTTCCACACCTCTAATGCTGTCAGAATATCTTTTCTATCTCAACTAGCCTCTAGTGATGAAAACCCCCAAAATAGGGCTTGCATGATTAAACATCATGATCTCACTGGAGTGCCTGGGTTGGGTCTTCTTAATATCCTAATCAGTCTGTTTAATCCTCATTCTTAGGCACTCCAGCGGAATTCCTTAGCCCAAGAGTACACTTGAGATTTACTGAACGTTTCCCTGGGATGGTTGATTGGGTTGTGGTGAAACACTTTCAAAGATTCGCTCTATCCTGTAATCCACAAGTTAAAAGATGGTTGGAAAACTACCAAGTTCAACTGCTCCCCTCATCACTTGGAATATCACCCCAGCATTGGATACTGTTGTTCTCATGGGGCATGCTTGTTGGTTTAAAGTGGCATAAACATGGCATTTAGGTCCACCACCCCGCCTTTGCAAAGACTGCTTTCAAATTGTCTTTGGAACAAATGGGGAAAAGAGAAGGCAGAAGAGGAGGAGGTAAAAGAGCAATAGATGGATTGGGCATTCAGAGGATTTAGAAAATAACCAGGCATTATTCTTGATTTCCAAAACACTTTAGATGTCCACTTCATTCATAGAAAGGAAATCTTTTTGGCCCAGAAGTTATACTGGGAAGCCTTAAGCATTAGCTTCCAGTTTTACTTTGGTGGCTGCATTATTAGAAAATGCTACATCTCAAAGCACATCTAAAACTATAGTTTATTCAGGTTTTAAACATCTGCTCAACTGTAATCATAATGAATATCTTTTCATAATACAGTATGCAGCGTGATACATGCCTACATGTAAAGCTATATTTGAATTGCCAACATAAATAAGACAGGTACAGTTTTAAATAATACGCACATGGATGAGTAACCTGTCTCATCCTCTAGGCAGGAACTACTTTCAACTAGGAAACAAATTTTCTTCTGTAACTTTACACAAGATTGATACCATTATACAAGATTAACCTCTGCATGGCCAAATAGGTTTGTGTGTATGTGTGTTGTTATCTGGATTCAAAGTATTGTCTTACCTAATATTAAAAGAGGATATATTAATGCCTTGAGAATAAGGATGTTCCTTTCTCGGACTTCACTCCACCTAAAAGGCATGCTGATGAAATTAAATTTTGTGGGTAAATTGTTTTGGCGTCTGGATTTGCTTCAAAGAGACTACTCAAATAAAAATGCTGCATCTTTTGAAGGTACATAAGCAAATTATTTGTCTTCTTGTCATAGTCCATTCTTTCAAAGAATAAGAGCTTCTGGATCTCTTTCAGCTACAGTTCAACACTTTAGTAGGGTGCTTCATCAGAGTTTCAAGTCTTTGGTCTCTCGCAAAAAAAAACACCACACTTAAACAAAAAAGAGTATGGAAGCTTTTGTTTTTGTGTTTTGAAAGACATCAATATTTTCCTATGAAGTAGCATTTGGAGAAGAACTGATTTTTCTGACCATTAAATACTCCTTTTTGTAGTTGAAAAAATATGGATCTGATTAGCCAATGAGTCAGTCAGCACTAAGGCAACTATGCAGAATGGGGAGCGTGTTAACATTGCAGCTATATGTTGAATAAAGCATGTGATATGAATGGTGATGGGCAGTTTTGTTTGTTAAAACAGCACAATTTCCTACCAGGTGCCTCTCTACTGAAGATGCAAGCCTTGCCCCTGGCCCCATAATTCAGCGACAGTCTTGCCCAAGTACAATGGGGAATGGTGCCAACATCCTTCTCCTATGTCTGTGGGGAAAAATTAGGAGACCGGAGCAACTGAAGGGCCATAAGAAGGCCCTTAAAAGTGACTCTCCACCAGTCTGGGGCTGAAAAAGGTAATCAGGTTCCATTTGGGAACAAGTGAAAAAGATCCAAAATGCAAAGCTACCTTTCCGTGTTTCTCTGATATAAAATTTGCTTATGGACAAGAGTGAGAGGGCAGCTGGCAAACAAACAGAAGTGAATCGCCCGATTGCCAGTTATGAAGCACTGAGGTGCACCTGTTCTTCTGCAACAGACACACACACACACACACACACACACACACAGAGTGAGAGAGTGAGAACAGCAGAAGGGAAAACACCCAACCAAATGGGCTTTGCTGTTTCAAAAGAAGATACTTGCATGTCCTCTACACAAAGGAATGCAACTTGCCCTTTCAACAATTCTGAACCCCATCTTGTTCCAGAAATTGGGCATCAGGTTATGAGTGTGACATTTGATCACCCTGGGAAATCTAGACCAACATTTCTTTAACTCGGACATCAGCTAAGCTAAAAAAAAAAAAAGCAACAACTAAAACAACCAAAAGGGAAAAAAATTAGCCCAGCAAAGAACGTTTTCTAATCTGGTGCTGCCTGGGTAGGTATAGAGCAGAACACAAGATAAAATATATGCATAAATTAAAAATATTCAATTGTCCAAGCTCAGATGGAGCAAGGTCTGCTCCTTCCTCTTTCCAAATACAAGTTTATAATAGTAATAGATAGCATTGAACTCTTTACATGTTCTTGAAGTGCATTTCCCATCATCCACAACCCAAGGACATGCAAATTGGAGCCCAGAATCTGGATGGACATAGACTCTTTACAATAAACACTAGATTCCCTTTCTTGGCATCTTAAAGTAACACTATAACTTTCTTGTTACAATTCCTTGAATTGTTCATTAGTTATTCTTGCAGTGGGAAATGTATGTCACGGGTTTAAGGCATGAAGGTATTTAATGTGCATCTGATGCTGCAAAATGTAACTGATGTAAAAAAAAAAAAAAAGCATGCACTGCAGAATTACAATAGCCTGAATGTGTTATCACACCTTATTAAAAACAAAAGGAAGAATAATTACAGAAAAACTGAAAATCCAGACTACAAAATATTTTTTATCAACCAAAGAGGATCCCATCTTTTGCTTCTGTTAAATTTAACTGCTACGAATGCAGCCATGAATTTTGCATGCTCTGAGGAAAAATCTCAACTGGATTTAAGTAAAATAAAAGATTTGAATCTTTACCCTTGGAACTGCATCCTGGAGAAACGGAGGTGCATTACTTTCACAACTGTGTAACAGCTAGGGAAGTTATAATCTTGATCAGAGACTCCACTTTTAGGAACTGTCTTAGCTACCAATATTTTCTCTATTTTTTTTCTTCTAATATCAGTGCAAGAACTGTTTATTAATCAACACAATACTCATCTAAAGTAAAAGTATTTCCAAAGGGATGGCAATGTCACAACTTCCTTAGGAGGTGAAAGTTGCGTTGTAGTGCAATTCGAACACTTCTTGCATTCCAAACTAATACTTCCTGTTATAGATCCTTAGAGGATCCATTCTCATAAACAAGTTGAGAATTGAGCAAACTTAGAAACACCGGAAAGCATATTGCAAACCATTCTACCTCACTATCTGGAATTCTCTCTGAAGCTACCCATGTGTCTGTAACATATTGAAAAGGTCATATTGAACCAAAGTACAGCTGGGATCTCCTTTCTCTTTAATAAATGCCACCATTGTAAACAAGGAGGTATGGTGGGGCAAGAGGAACCAAAGTTTTAAAAAGGCATGCCAAATTGTCTGATTTCAGTGAAAGCACACACATATGATGTGTGTTTGATATGCATAGATGCTATGAAAATTAACTTCCCTGGCATATATAGTATGCACAGCTTCATATGTAATAGTATATTAGCTACAGTACTAAATTGAAACAAAAACAACATTACTATTGCTACTGGGGAAAAAAAGTATTACTGGCCCAAATTTAAAACTGACTGATTTCTTCTTCCTAAAGTAAATCCTTTTGGACTTGCTGGTCTTCTGAATTATGTCTTTCATTTCTCAGCTGCAAGGGTTTAGAAATACTGATGTTTTTAGAAAGTTAAATCTGTTAAAACATTTATCTGGTCAGGGAAAAGATGAGACATACAATTCAAATACTTTGGAGACCAACCCAGATCTTATAAGAGGTTCTCTGCAGCCTTTAGCTGCCAGCCTAGCCTGGCCTGGCCTGTGAACTTTAACCTGAATTCCTGAATACATTTTGATGAGCGAAGCGATCACCTTCCTAATTTTGCTTCAGGCTCTGCCTTTCCAAACTCTTACAGAAAACATTATATGACCAAAATTTCCTCTTTCTCAGTAATTCTAGAATGTGACCGATTTAGACATTTGCCCCATGGGGGAACAGGTTGAAGAGAACGTGTTCTCTGAATGTGCTTTGAAAATCTTGGGTGGTATTTTTGGTTTCTGAAATGCAGGTGAACCACCCAGAACGTTTTTCAACTTCTGAACACGATCCCCGGCTACCTCAGCTTCCCCAGGGACAAGATTGCATTTTTCACCATCCGCTGTATGACAGCGGCTGGCCTCTGGCAAAGGGAGAGCCACCTGCTTTTTGCTCAAGCAATCTTGCTCTGTGGCGTAAGCCAAATGAAGAGGGGTGGTAGTTTTTATAATTCTGAAGGGGCTGTGCTGATCCTGCAACACAGGAGATGAAGTAGCTTGGAGGCCTCCAAGGGCTTGGAGGCCTCCAAGCAGCAAGAGGGCACCACAACCAGGCTCAGAAAGGACAGGCACGCTGCTTCCTCCAGACCAGCGTTTGGAATGTGGAAGCATGGGGAATGAGGTGAGAGGGCCATTGTTTTTGGGCGGTTCTGCCCAATCTGTCACTTCTTGGGTTTGCCTTTGGAGATTGTCTATCTCCCCAAGTGAGGCAGACTTGGGTCTAGAAGACTTTAATACTGGTGTGCAGAGTTCAGTTGGTGGTGTTGAATCTGCCAATTTCTTAGTAGCGGGCGCCTCATCTTCATTTTCGGACAGGTTATCATACTGTGATACATTAGAAGGCCGTCGCTGGCCATCTTGGAAGGGAGGAGAGAGAGCGGCAGAGGTCCTCTCTCTACATGGCACTACTAGATTTCCTGGCACACCGTGCGGTATAAAGAGGCCGTGTTCTGCTGTAGAAGATGCCTCTGTACACGGGGGATGCTGTAAATCATCTTTAAGCAAGGCAGCACCTCCAGATACTAAATCTTCAGAGGAGCAGGTTGTGCTCTCCTGCTCAAGAGCAGTTGCATTTTGCACAGAAGGGGCCGAGTCTAAGTGATGCAGTGACTTCGGTCTTGTTAACGAAGTTGTACTGTCGTGGCTGATAGACAGGTCAGCTTCCAAGGGTTGACCCTGCAAGTGGGACTCCCAGTCAGAATTGTTTGTTGTCTGAGCTTCCAGCACTGGGGGAATAATGTGGTCCCTGTCATCTTCTAAAGGAATCTCTTTATTTTCCTGTAAGCTGCACTTCTCAGAGTTACTGCTTTTTAATGAATTATCTTTCCCACTGTCTGAAGTCACATCTTGATCTCCCCCCACTGTCTGAACGTTACCTAGTATTATAGGATTCTCCATGGAAGATATTTTATCAGCACTTTCTTCCACTCGGTACTCCTCAGTTTCAAAGATTTCATTTGGTGGAAATCTTTGGAAAGGATTGTTATGCATATCCGCCAGTTTGTTCTGCAAGGCTGTTCCATTGTGCTCTGGAGAAGATCTTTCCTGTATGGCCATATTTGAGTTATCAATTCCTTCATTCAGGCAATGAGCATTTTTATCTGGAGAAGATTGTATTATGACATCTTTATCATCGTTGAAGTCACTGATGGCCGTTTTCTGACCATTATTGGCTATGCTGGATTTCACTGAGAGTAGATTTAGAGAAAGTTCCATCCCCAGGGGTGTTTTTGGGAATTCTTCAGATTTTGCTGCAACAAAAAGGTACAGACATGCATTAGTCTATTAAACTAAATCCAAGGACAAACATGAAATGCAGTGACCTGGATTTTATTTTGTTTAAGTAATGAAAAACAAATTAGGCATCGAAAGCAACTTTCTAGGGACAACAATCACTGGGATTAGGAAGAAGAATATGAAGTTTTGTTGAACACTTTAAAAGGTATAATATATAGGACTTCCACAGAAGAAATGGCAGGGCTGATGATTGTGACTAAGTACAAGAAACTCGTAAGTCCATTGGTCCTTCAACCCTCTTTGGAGAAGATGCATGATTTTTTAGATTTTTTTAAATTCTCGCTTTTATGTTTTTAAGTAAATAACTCAAGGCGGCCAACATACTCATTACTCCTTTCTCCTCCTATTTTCCCCAAACATGGCTGAGGAGGACTCAGTGGCTCAAATTTACCCAGATGGCTTTCATGCCTAAAGCGGGATTAGATTGTCCATGTTGTTCTCCCTACAGTGGATCCTCACAAGCAGTTTGCAAGATGGGAGAACTGGGAGATGGGGGAATTTTCCATTCTCGTTCCAGCCACGGTGGAGCCTTCGAAGGACTCTAAATTTGCACTTTCTTTTTCTTTTGCTAACTACCTTGAGAAATTGCCTATTAAGTCCTTTAAAGAAATGAGACATCTTTAAAATCATAATGTTGGAAACACTGGACAAGTGCTTAATCCTTAACATAAGAGAATGAAATCATACTTTATAAGCTTTAAGTATTCAAAAACAAAAAGCAAAAAACACAGTAAGGTTTTGGCTGTAGAAAATTTGATTTCAGAGAAAGTTAGAATATGATTTTGAATATTAAGACATTGAAATTAATTTTAAAAAATGTATTTTTGTGGGAAAAACAAAATATTTTCAATTTTGGAGACATAACAACCTAGGCAACTTATAATGGCATTCAGAGATATTGTTGAGGTATGGCAATGGGACTTTCAATAAATACTGTCAGCTGTGTTGTTTTTATGAATACCCTGTTCCCAGAAGGAAAAAGAAGATGCTATTACAGAAAAATGTATCTGACATAATTATGGAGAACAACATGAACAAGTATTTATCACTGGATATAAAAAAAAATTAATGAAGGAAATAAATATGAAGGAAGTAAAAAGGAGGAAGTAAAAATGTCAATTCAAGGGAGTAATTGGAATGGTTTCTTCCTGCACATAGACCAGCTGCAGCTGCATATGTAAATCACAAGACAGTGTGTGAAGGTCAATCAGTCAATTGATCATCTCAACAAGAAACTTCTCCAAGAAAGCATACATGCTAATGTCCCTTCAGTGCTCACACTCCTTTCCATTTCTGACGGGTAGATTTTCAGTGCAATTGTCTTCAGCACTAACTTTCAATATTCTCTTTATTGATTACTGCTGTTTTATGGTGTTTGGCCTGGACAGTTTTAATTGTAATGGAAAAGAAACCACTCATTGTTATGACTACCTAGTTTAGTATAATCTACATCCTAATTGGCAGAAGAAGCACAAGAATTTAGACTAAAGTTTCCATCTGCTCTGAAACTGAGATCCTCAAAATGGAATGCAGGTATGATCCCGCCTGTAAGAAATCCAGCCCTTTCTCCAACAAGTGATAGTGAAAATGTAGCTTTGGAAAAGGTGCTGTATTTAGGAAAGAATTTTTGAGAGCACCAATTCATATAACGATGCAAAAGATATTGTGATTTATATGATGAAACTGGAATTTTCATTGGGTTTAATGGACAAAGAACTAGAAAATAAATATGGGAAACATATCGTATGTGCGACAAGATTATTGTAGAAACAAAGATGGAAAAAATAATGGAATATTCGCAGAAGATTGGATTGTAAAAATTGATGGAGCTTGTGAAAATGACAAAGCTGACCAGTTTAGTCAAGGGAAAAACAATACAGACTTTTCAGAAAGGCTGGAAGCCTCAACTGGACTTTTTGTTGAAAGAAGAAAATACTGAATTGATGATTTATGGATTTAGGAATTAAAGAGTAAAAGAAAAATGGGAAAGAATAAAATGGCAACACCTCAATAGAAAGAAGGGTGGAAGTCATAATTCTATGTTTTCTTTTTTCATGTTTTTCTTTTTTTATTTTCTATATACTTATTTTTCCTTGCTCTTTTAGGGCTTTTTATTTTATTCATTTTTATTATTCTGAAAAATTCTAATAAGAAAGAATGAAAGAATGCTGTACTTGTGATCATATTTCCCCACTCAGTTAAACTAATTTTGTGAAAGCTGCTCTGTTAGACATTCAAGCAAGTTAAGTGGCTCTCTATTTATCTTAACAGGAATTAAACCTTCTATTCATAACAGTGCCTTTAAAAAAAATATGCATCATTGTTCAAACTTCGACTTACGTGGAGGTGGAAGATCAAATTTCATTTTACGCAGTTCTGCCATGGATGCTTGTAAATGCTCAATTACAGTATCATCTTCAAACTGCAGAGAAGCAGCAATTTTTTCTTGCAGAAATTCCCGCAGATCTTCGAGGTTCATTTTCAACAAGCGTTCTAAGCAGGAAACAGAAACATCAGCTCGATAAAGACGCTGCCATTATCCTGATACAATTTCTACTGAATGACATACCCAGTGCAACGGATCAAAGATGTTATTTAAATGAACCGTGGTAAATTTATGGTTATCGGTTTAGATACCATTTTCTGCCTATGCGATCAAAGGGATGTCTTCACATCCATCCTGGCAAGAATTTCCAGTTGTGTAACTTCAAGACTGAAGTTTATATCGATTAAATCCTTTTACATAAATAAAGCCATTCCCAGCATTTGCGGTTAAATACAGGATGATTCTGATGTTCTACCACTAGGGGGAGTAAAGCTGCATTCTGCAACTTGATCCAATCTGCAGCTGAAATTCAACTACAGGTAGTCCTCCACTCACCACCACAACTGAGTCCAAGATTTCTGTTGCTAAGCGAGATAGCTGTTAAGTGAATTTTGCTCCATGTTACTTTTCTTGCTATAGTTATTAAGTGAATCACTGCAGTTGTTAAGTTAGTAACATGGTTGTTAAGTGAATCTGGCTTCCCCATTGACTTTGCTTGTCAGAAGGGTGCAAAAGGGGATCATGTGACTCCGGGAAACTGCAACCGTCATAAATGTGAGTCAGTTGTCAAGCATCTTAATTCTGATCACATGACCATGGGGATGCTGCAATGGTTCTAAGTGTGTAAAACAGCCGAAGGTCACTGTTTTCAGTACCGCTGTAACTTTGAACAGTCACTAAATGAACTGTTTTAAGTTGAGGACTACCTATACTTGCAAGGCAATTTGGCCAAACACATCTTCATGATTTAAAGGACACTATTTTGCATTCAAAAATGTGAGTTAAACTCATCTTGATTTTAGATTTCATCTCTCACGAATATTCTGTATGCAGTGATCTGTTACGTTTTACAAAATAAAGATATGGGATTATACTTTTATTATACACAGTCATAGTAAGGCTACATATAAACATTTATTGCATATTTTATTTCACAAGGTCCAAGTATGCTTGGGCTAATGGCCTATTCTCACTTCTGCAATTTTCGAATCTATCTTCACAAGACCATAGGCTGGATTCTGGTCTGTTATGTACAACTTTCTAAGGGCACAGATATCACATACTTGTTATAAAAGGCAACTAAGGCTACAGTGAATAGAATACCTATTGCACAAGTAGACAGATTTGTTATTTCTGGTTTGGGAGTTCTATGTTTTATTTAGAGGGTATGACCACACTTGTGTATTTTTTCCTTTTACAAAATACAGTACATAAACTATGGCATAAACTATGTCTGTTTCAAGAAGTTTTGAGCTGCAATAAAAGATTTTGAGAGGGAGGGGTGATCACACTTGCAATGCCAACAGAGGTTTGCCTACCCCTTAGATTCAGAAAGCTGGCAATCTCAAGTTCAAAAAATAAACTGCAAATGTTTAAGATGCTATGAGACTCATTGTTCTGTTTTGTAATATCAGATTAAGATGGCTTCTCTCGGTGGAATTTGTCAGAAAGGCCTATCTATCATCATCCCTTTTCTAGCCTGTCTTTTATAACTTCTCTCAGGAAGGTTTAGTTTTCCTCTGACCTATGGGAATAATAAAGAGTGTGAATCTTAAGGCAGACTCTTTTTTGTTGTTCGTATTTTGTGTACTGTACTCGTTTGTGGAGACCATTTGGTAATCTTTACTGATTGTGTAGAACAGTGTTTCTCAATTGTGGTCACTTGAGGATGTGTGGACTTCAATTGCCAGAATTCCCCAGCCAGCTATGCTGGCTGAGGAATTCTGGGACTCGAAGTCCCCACATCTTCAAGTAGCCACAGTAGAGAGACTAAGCTGGATTCTAAATTTCAGTATGGAAATTCAGAGAGTTCCAGCGTGGAGGCAGAGGCATGGCAGCCTCTGCCACTGTACAACAGATGAATGCCTTTGCAGGGACATTCATAGGTACTGCTTGTAGGAAAAGCAGCATTAAATGGCAGAATCATTTCTTACAGATAAACCACAATATCCAACAGAATTTGAAAGTTCTCTTCTTAAAAAATTAAGAAATCTGGAGAGAAGCAAGAATACAGTGTCTCCAGAACAATTCCAGTTTTGCTGAAATTATGTTGTAATAGCAAGGACCCACATGAGTAGATTTCAGTTGTCATGCAAGCAAAGAAAATAAAATCCGAAATCTGCCATCCTGTATTTGGGACAATGAAAGCACAATTTTCTGAACACTTCTGCAGCAGCCTTGTCTTTAAAAGATGCTTCTTTTATAAATGCTGTATCAAGTTTTTTTTAAAAAAGCGCTGAATAGTCAAACCAACTTCTTACTTTTATGCAGTTTGAGAATGGTGTATGCCATAGCAGTAAGAACCCGCTCTCCTTCTAGGATGTAAATATCCCACAGCCTCAGGGTTAGTGTAAACGGAGTCTGTGTGTAGTGTTAAAAAAAAAAAAGGAATTTTGGCAATATGCAAACTACAATGTATCTATAGAGCACCAGGTCTCATCAAAATAACATTTTCAAGATGAACTCAAAACCAAGATTCAAGTTCATTTTGTGACATATTTTTATAAAAAATCAATAAGGGAAGGTAAATAAAAGTAGTCTCCATCTGGGGGAATATAAACTTAAAAATCAAACCAGGCCCATCAGAAATCCCATATAGCATGGAATTGTTTGTTTATCAGTCAGAAATTAGACTAGATTTAATAATAAATTAACAGATTGCATTAATTTTACATTAATATTATACATAATATTTCCTTAGTTTCCTTACCCCTTAGTTTATTTTAATCACTGTAATGCATGTAGTTTGTTTTGAACAGTTTCTTATATTTACTAATAAAATAAAAACATTTAAAATGTGAGATTATAATTCTACATCAAATGAAAATAATTACAAGCAGAAAGACACAATGTAAATTAGTATTGTAATGATATTGGAGGAAGCATCTGAAATGTTTGCTCCCCCAATCCCATACCCGGTCAATGAAGCACTGTAAGAACCACTTAGTTGTATAAATTCCTGTCAACATCTGCTCCTTATCCTAAGAAGGAAGGAGGGAGGGAGGGAGGGATAGACAGAGATAGAGAGACCAAATTAAAAAAGAATCTCATTTTACAAGACAAGCAAATTAGAGATCTGTGAACTGTAATTCACATGCTTTCAGGTTCTCAAGGTCATCTCTTCATAGATACTGGTGGTTTTCTTTCCTAAATTAAACTAGCTACCATGCAATAAGCAGCATTTTATTTCACTGGTTACTCATTCTAATTCTCTTTCATATGTATTTTCTCAGTGGATAACTAATATAGTTCCCTGTCCCTCTTTTCTTCCATACCATTGTTGTGAGCATATTAAGGAGGTTCATTCAAAATGTCTTTGTAATTGTGGCAGAGTGTATATTTTATCCTTCGTCACTGAGTATTTTGCATGTACTATCTAAAGGACATTGAGATTTTTAATTATTATTATTAAAAAAAAACCACTCCTCATCCTGTTCTATTTTCTCAAAGGGATGGGTGGGGGGGAGAAGTGGGGGAGACTGCTATCCCTGGAGATACAACTCAGCTGCAAGGATCAGGAGATGGTGCCACGGAATGTACACTGCTCAAAAAAATAAAGGGAACACTTAAACAACACAATGTAACTCCAAGTCAAGCACACTTCTGTGAAATCAAACTGTCCACTTAGGTAGCAACACTGATTGACAATCAATTTCACATGCTGTTGTGCAAATGGAATAAACAACAGGAGGAAAGCATAGGCAGTTAGCAAGACATCCCCAATAAAGGAGTGGTTCTGCAGGTGGTGACCACAGACCAGTTCTCAGTTCCTATGCTTTCTGGCTGATGGTTTGGTCACTTTTGAATGCTGGCGGTGCTTTCACTCTAGTGGTAGCATGAGACGGAGTCTACAACCCACACAAGTGGCTCAGGTAATGCAGCTCATCCAGGATGGCACATCAATGCGAGCTGTGGCAAGAAGGTTTGCTGTGACTGTCAGCATAGTGTCCAGAGCATGGAGGCGCTACCAGGAGACAGGCCAGTACATCAGGAGACATGGAGGAGGCCGTAGGAGGGCAACAACTCAGCATCAGGGCCGCTACCTCTGCCTTTGTGCAAGGAGGGACAGGAGCAGCACTGCTAGAGCCCTGCAAAATGACCTCCAGAGGGCCACAAATGTGCATGTGGCTGCTCAAACGGTCAGAAATAGACTCCATGAGGGTGGTCTGAGGACCCGACATCCACAGGTGGGGGTTGTGCTTACAGCCCAACACCGTGCAGGACGTTTGGCATTTGCCAGAGAACACCAAGATTGGCAAATTCACCACTGGCGCCCTGTGCTCTTCACAGATAAAAGCAGGTTCACACTGAGCACATGTGATAGACATGACAGGATCTGGAGATGCCATGGAGAACGTTCTGCTGCCTGCAACATCCTCCAGCATGACCAGTTTGGCAGTGGGTCAGTAATGGTGCGGGGTGGCATTTCTTTAGGGGGCCGCACAGCCCTCCATGTGCTCGCCAGAGGTAGCCTGACTGCCATTAGGTACCAAGATGAGATCCTCAGACCCCTCATGAGACCATATGCTGGTGCGGTTGGCCCTGGGTTCCTCCTAATACACGACAATGCTAGACCTCATGTAGCTGGAGTATGTCAGCAGTTCCTGCAAGACGAAGGCATTGATGCTATGGACTGGCCCGCCCATTCCCCAGACCTGAATCCAATTCAGCACATCTGGGACATCATATCTCACTCCATCCACCAACGCCATGTTGCACCACAGACTGCCAGGAGTTGGGGGATGCTTTAGTCCAGGTGTGGGAGGAGATCCCTCAGGAGACCATCCGCCATCTCATCAGGAGCATGCCCAGGCATTGTAGGGAGGTCATACAGGCATGTGGAGGCCACACACACTACTGAGCCTCATTTTGAGGACATGACAACAAAGTTGGATCAGCCTGTAGTGTTTTTTCCACTTTAATTTTGAGTGTAACTCCAAATCCAGATCTCCATGGGTTGCTAAATTTGATTTCCATTGATAATTTTTGTGTGATTTTGTTGTCAGCACATTCAACTATGTAATGAACAAAGTATTTAATAAGAATATTTCATTCATTCAGATCTAGGATGTCTTATTTTTGTGTTCCCTTTATTTTTCTGAGCAGTGTATTTTCCCACATTTCTCCATACTGTTTGCCACAAGGCAAAGGGATTAGTCAAAATCCTGGCCCACAGACCGAATGTGTCACATACTGGCCCTGTCCCAGCTTGGTTCAGCGAAGGGGAAAAAAGTCCCGATACATCACGTGACACCGCCGTGACGCTGTGAGTTTGACACCCCTGGGCTAGGAGATCCTTGTCTATCTCATGCATAGGAACAATCGGGAGACCCCCTTAGCACACAATTGATAGCAATTGTAACTATTGAGAAGTATACTAAGATAGAAAAGTGAGCAAGAAGCTCCTGGGAGAAGTGGTATGACTTTCATGTACAGATTTATCCCTGCTGTTACAAAAATATTTCTAATAATATATTTGGAGATGACACCTTTTCTGGTATTTGATGCAATGAACACTCTAAAAAAAATAATGCATGGCAAACAATCAATCATATATATATAAACAATCAATCATATATGTATGTATGTATGTTTATGTATGGTATTTACCCACGAAAACATGTGTGTGTGTGTGTGTGTGTGTGTGTGTGTGTGTGTGTGTGTGTGT